AGACCCATTAAGTTGCTGTGTTACAACAAAAACCTACATTTTAACTGCATTTACTTTGTCTGTTTTAACTAATATTGACCTATAGAATGCTGAGATGTCATCTGAAACCCAGCAATAGAGTTACTAACCGTGTAACTAAGTTTAAGGTTAAAAACAGTCTCCAGGGAATGAGTGTAAGTCAATATAATGTCTCCATAACGCATCGCAATGTACGGCTGAGTGTGTGTGTGTATATGTGTGTAGGTTAACGCGTGTGTCCCAGAAGGTTTATGAAGGCATTAGCGAGCATTGCAACACCAGCCGACTCTCGCACATAGATTTACAGCTTAGTCCCTGCACCGAAGAGCGCAATCCGGTGACAGGCTTGGGTGTTTGTTGTCTTTACTTACACATTCACGATTAAAAGAAAGGATTTTGAATAGGAAAGCAGATTAGCGCGCCATTATACAAAATTACGCGCCCGTAGCGGTTCAATAAAGTATCTGGATTAAAGTCTCGCTAGAATGGTTTTCACATGTGTTTGTGCAACGTCAATTTTGGCAGCCCGAAATCCCCAAAAGTTCCTTTCCACGCAACAAAACGGCGATGTATCCAAAGTGTCTCTACGCTTGACTGCGCAGATGACTCCTGCCTGGAGATATTAAAACAATATTTATATCAAACACAAGATGACATGGATTTTTTTTGGGGGGGGGGTTAAAATCTGTTTTCGATTTTAGTCACAAGCATGTAGCAACCAGCAGTGAGCCAGTTGCAATACAGTAGATTTTTGAGAATAATGTCTAAGCTTTGTAATATGGCAATGTCGGATGAGGCATAGATGAAAGCAGAGTGAATCATCCGCCCCCATAGCCCTATCTCTGCATCCTCATCTGACTCCGTGTCCTCTTTCACTACATAACATTCGAGCGCTATAGGTTCTGTCTGTACAGTTCGAAACCACCGCAACACACGAGATTAACCGACACGTGGGTCAAAGTCATCTTTTCTTATAACACGCGAGAGAAAACTGAGGTTCTCACTAGTTTAAAGGTCCTGTATTACTCGAAATTGATACTATTTCAGACATGTTAGAATGCTGTTATCAACTCAAAACAAAAACATACCTGGAGCTGTGTTTTTTTTTCATTCAGACATGCTTGAGTAATCCTGCGTCTTTAGTCTGACTGTATCTCCAAAGCTCAAAATGTAATGTAGTCTACGGGCAGCTTTCAGGTTCATAGCTCCCTTTTACCTTTAGGCTACGTTCAGACCGCAGCCTGAAGTGACCCAAATCAGGATTTTTTCGTCCCTATGTGACCTGTGTCTGATCTTTTAATGACGGTCTGAACGACACGGATCCGATTTTTTTTCAAATGTGACCCAGACCACTTGGATATGTGCTCCTGAAACCGATACATATCTGATCTTTTGGCACGCGACTTCAGTCTGAACGGCCAGGTAACATTCATCCCACCTACACGGTAAAACTCCGTCCTACCTCAGCTCACTACTACACCTCCACAGCTCCAGATGCACATTACGCTCCAACAGATACATAACCCCGGTCGTTCTTAAAACCCACACAGCTTTGGACCTTTCCTCATTTCAGTTTTCTGCAGCAAGTGACTGGAAATACCTTCAACAGACTTTAAAACTTAGTTCATTTTTACCTCTGTCGACTTTTAAAAACTCCATCCAAAGTATTTTACAGGATAATTGCACTTGACGCTTTTATATTTAATCTGCAATTGTTTCACTGTCTTACATCTCTATTCACTGTTTCATGTTATAGTTGATGTGTGAGTGCGTTCTGTTTGTGCTTTTGTTTTATATTGCCCCTTGACCAGGTCGTAATTGTAAATGAGAAGGTGTTCTCAGCTGACTTACCTGGTAAAATATTTAATTAAAAATAAACAAAAAAATGTCAGGCTTGGAGTCTAGTCAATGGAGAGAAAGTGAGGTTAGCGAGTTAATTAATATTTGGAGGGATCACTGTATTCAGGCCAAATTGGAGGGGTTTTATTGGAACCGGGCAGTTTTTGAAATGATTGCCAAAGAAATGTCCGAGCGCTGCTACAGACGATCCTGGCTCCAACGAAAAATAAAGAGCCTGCGAGCAAAATACAAGGAGGTTATAAAGACTCAAACAAACGAGGCAGCCATGGACGCGTAACCTATCCATTTTACGAAGAACTGGACTGTATTTTGGGAGACGAGCCCAGAGTTTAGGCGACTTCCATAAACACTGAGCACGCTCGCTGAACGTGATGACATCGTGTCCTCCAATGTGCATGCGGGACACTTTTGGGCCATTTAAATTTCACACTGGAGATCACATACAAGTCGCATTTAACTGGAAATGTGCAATCGGATTTCACCAAAAAATCCAAATTGAGCATTAAGCGCTGCAGTCTGGACATAGCCTTAGTTCAGTAGAGATGGGCAATTCCAAAGTGTATGGAGTTAAAAACATTGGAGCACTTCCTGTATTTAGACAGACTGAGAGAAGAACTCAGCCTAAATATGCAGGGTTTGTGCGTTAAACATGTGTGAATGAAACAAAACACAATTCCAGGTTTGTTTTTGATTAGGAAACAACATTATAACACACAGTAAATCAGAAAATAGTTTGCAAAACTACAAACAAAAAATCATATTGAGTTTTCTGCAGAAGACATTCTATTTTGGCTCTGTGTATTGATGATTGCAACATCTCATAACATGCACAAATCATAACCTGCTTTTCATCAAACATTCTGCCCCGAAGCTGTACTAAAATATGAATAATACTTATGCCTTATAGTTCCACTTTAAAGGCTTAAAGGCCGTATTACCTTTCTGATCTGTTATAATCTTGTTTACTGGAGTTGTTTTCTTTCATTCACACTTGTTCAACACACAAACCTCGCAGGTTTAGATTGTGTTATTTTTTCTGTCCACTTTCTGATGTCACGTGGTGATACAGGAAGTACTCCACTGTGTTTTTAAAAATCCATACACCCTCACTAGAATCATTTGGATGATTTCCAATCTCTATTAAACAAAATGTAAATGTGAAAACTACCACTTCATGAGTTCACAAGGTGGAACAGAGCATTTTGAGCATTGGAGATGTAGACAGAGTAATAATGCAGGATTACTTAAACATGTGTCAGTGAAACACAACACAACTCCAGGTCTGTTTTTGAGGAGGTAACAACATTATGGCTGAAAAGTCACAAGAGTCAATTTTGCAAAATATATGACCTTAAACAAAACCTCTCCAAGGGTGACACTAGAGTTGCTGAAGAAGTTTTTTTTTTTTTTATTTTTTTATTAAAGACAGCAGAACATAACATTCAAAAAAAACAAAACAAACATCAACGTTTAACAATTGCAATATTCAACATAAAAACAAAAACATAAAGCAACAACCACAACACCACAACAAATACAAAAAAGCCCCCCCATTTCCCCCAAACCACCCACACCAACACAAAGTCAAAACAATATAAATGTGATAGTGCAACATAAATACACCGCTAGGCTCCCAAACTTTGATACACTGCGGCCAATTTATAATTGAAGTTCCTTTTGTCTCTCTTCCTTCCCTTTTTTTTTTTTTTTTTTTTTTTTTTAAATTATAATTTTTATATTATAATTTTTTAAATGTATTAGTCCCTATACTCAAACTAATATTTATTTTCACCATCATCAGTTCCCCTCGTCATCTTTCACCATATGTCACAATCTCAAAAAACATAACCCTAAAGGCATTTTTTAAAAAATTAATTATTATTACTGTTATTATTATCACTATTATTCCTACTATTTTCCACTACCTTTCATCACTATTACTATTTTTATTATTATGAATTATTATTACATCCATAATACCTATTATTATCTCTACTATTAATTACAATAATTACAACAATAATATTTCATTATTATTATTATCATTATCATTGGTAGTAGTAGCAGTAGTAGTAGTGACAGTAGTAGTAGCAGTAGTAGTAGCAGTAGTAGCAGCAGTAGTAGCAGCAGTAGTAGTAGTAGTAGTAGTAGTAGTAGTAGTAGTAGTAGTAGTAGTAGTAGTAGTAGTAGTAGTAGTAGTAGTAGTAGTAGTAGTAGTAGTAGTGTCAGTAGTCCCCAATAGTAGATATATGAATATTATATAGATCCCTACTTTTGCTGAAGAAGTTGCTGATACAATACATAGGCCAAGATACGATACATATTTCCATACAATGCACTTTCGGTTCAATACAATATATTTCAAATTGATTTGATGGCTTAAATCATGGCTGTGATACTAAAAGTCTTTGTTAAACCATTTCTTATGCAAAGTTCATATGAAACACAAACATGTTAACCATCAAAACTGAAAATGTCAAATGTGTTGCATGAATGAGTTTCCTTCTTCCAAACAAGCAACAAAACTGTAGCACTGTAACAAAATAATGTTTTTTTTTTTAGTTTTTTTGTGCACATAAAGCAAATATCATAGAAGGAAAAAAATGTAATGTAATGTGACAATTTTCCCCTCCCCCAGCCCCCCGCCCATTAAACTCCCCTACTGTTTCCAGAGAAAAGAAAGATAAATAATAGTACATAAATAATAAACAAAATAATAATAAATATGAAAAAAAAAACTTATATATACATGTATATATGCACACTCACTCTACTCATCATACTGTATCATTACATTAAATGATAAAATATATTGACACCCCTTGGTGACACTGTAGTCATTAAGACAGTAGTAAAGTAAATAAGGCTTCCATACTTTGCTTAATGACTCCTCTGACCACCCACAATCATAAACAGACAGGGCACAACAGCAGTACACAGTGATTTAAGCAGGACTCATAACCCCAACATATTACTATGTGGTTTTATACTACTTCTAATAAAGACCAAGACTGGCCTAAACCAATAAGTATCTAGTTTTGATCATAGTTCTTGTACAATTTTGTGTCTGGGTAAAGATTTGGATCTGTATTAAACTCCTCTTTTCCTTTTGTTGTGTGCAGCTCCACGTCCCGGACAGGAGAGACAGTCTCATCATCGGGGCAGAGCCAGTCCAAATCGGGGAGCACCCATAAGATCTGCCTGGTGTGCTCGGACGAGGCCTCTGGGTGCCACTACGGCGTCGTCACCTGTGGGAGCTGCAAGGTGTTCTTCAAGAGAGCCGTGGAGGGTAAGAAACCTAACCAAAGCTGATTCATACATTGTGTTTTATATTTTAAAGGGCCTATATATAGTTCTGGATGTTTCAGTCTGGTTTATTATGGTGCATTATGTACATTTTTCCACCAACTGCTTGTCTCCATGGAGAGTTAAGGGTTAGATCTGTGGAAAGGTGAGCATAATCACAGTGTTTTTCAATGCATTTTTCCTAATAAAACATCTGTAATTTAATTAATGCAAAATATATACTTATAGGTACCCAAACTTTTTGGTTGAGGGTCTGTCACATTCTTGTTACTATGGAGATGTCATTGCATGTTCCACAGTATGTCATTAAACAGCTTTATATTTATTGAATTACAGGTGTTTTTTTTAAAATTTATTTATTGAATTACGGGTGTTTTTTTAGTTATATACTGAGAAAGATGTTGAGAAAAACAGACATTCTGACTGTGAGCGTCTCCACAGATCTGACCTGTAACTTGTCTGGCAATAACGTCTCCATGCAGAAAAGTATTTGACGGATCCTCCAGCAGAAAAGTTACACAATGCACCTTTAACTTAACGGCGTAGATTAGAACTTCGTAGGAAAAGCAGTATCTTGTTTGAGAAGAAAAGTTACATAATGTACCTTTTAATATCACTGCGAGTACTTGGCCTATTCACACAAAACAAAACTGACCAGCAAAATGTGAGAAAACCTAAAATAACACTGTCTTGATTGTAAACAGATGTCAGAAGATTAAAATGTGCACTTTTGTGGTTCCAGTCTCTAATGAAATGTAGTTTGGTTCATGGATGTAAAGCCTTAAAGACAGGACAAATGACAGGCCCTGCTGCTCGCTGCTTCCCCTCACTTTAAGATGTGGCCACATTTACTCTGGCTCTAATCTCTTGTGCATATTCATGTCTGTGTTTGTGCATTGCGCAATAACAGCGCGGTACATGTGCATCGAGTAGGAATGGTTAGCGACGATTAGCTGTGTACATTTTGTCCCAAAGATCCTTGTGCATTTGCATTTTATGAGATTAGTTTATTGAACTTGCATAACAGGGAAACATCTGCCTCTTTGTCCTTTGCCGCGAAATCAAATTAAATTTTTCAAAATGGATTGTGGTAAGAGTCTCACCCGCCATTTCCTTCAAAATTACGGTGTTTTTAGTGCAAGCAAGTGTGGGCTGTGACATATTAAACGTACTATACTTGTATTTTTTTCCAGTGTTTTTAAAAAAGATGCACTGTGTAACTTTTCTGGTGCCTGCTTCACTCTGTTGTTTTGCCATGTTCAATAGTGTGGCATTAGACTTAGTTTTACTTTTTATGCTCAACAATTCTTTGAAAACCAATCACTGCTCTACAGTTTCTTTGCCTGTTACCTGCTGGTCTCTATGAAGATACTCTATGTTTAATACCACTGTGAATGTGGAACATTCTAGGAAAAGCACTAACATCTCCATTGAGACAAACAAGTGGAGGACCCCTGACCAGAAAAGTTACATAGCACACCTTTAAACTTGAGTTATTTCCTTTTTATTTTTATTTTTTTTGTAAAATTCACAACAGCATAACTTATTATGTGAAGCAATGTCAACTTTTTTGTATCTATGGGTGGCAACGGCATCTAAAGATTTTGTTGTGAAGACTTAATGTGCTTGTGTCAGTTATGTAGAAATAATCTCTGACACCAGTAGATCATTATGTCATCATTTGCACATTTAAAAAAAACCTAATATTCATCTAAAATCACTTCATAAAAGAAACAGAAGTCCACTGACTCCCACGTTAGAAGTAAAGACTTGTGCAGCTGTCAGCATCTTTGATGGGTAGCTGCACATCACAGTAGCAAAAAGTTCATTTTTAAATTAAAAAATAAAAAATAAAATTATTTCATTTGTACCAAAATGACTACGTGAATCTGCCAAATCCCACGTGTATCACCGATTTTTAAAAAATTAAATTGCAGAACAAAGTTAGTACAGAGAAGTAGAATTTGCATAATAAGCCCGCTTTAAATTCTCCTAATTTTTCATCTTTCTGAAATCCATGGACACATGATGAATACGTGGCCTCTGTTTTTGGACTTAGTTCATCTCTACCTGATCTGTTTCTTTGACCTTGTGAGGCAGAGCTGTGCTGATGACTCACTGGCCTCAGTCTGTTTAAACAGAGAGAGTGGCTCTTGTGTGTAGGAGAGCATTCGGGTACAGACTCTGTTACCTCCACAAGTGCACTTTCCTATGCACTTTATACCTCTCCATCTCTTCTACTACAATATGATTGAAACGACTTAATGCCAATGACACCAGGATTCCTCTAAGAAAAATGAGCTGCAATAAATAAATAACACAAGAAAACCGTATTTAGTATAATGAGTCATCAGATTTGACCCTGACAACTGAAATGTGAAAATATTCTCCACTAATGCAAAGGAAAGTACATATGAGACATTTTGAGCCTTAGAAACATTGTTCCATCTTTATCTCTCATGATTATATTATCGTGATAGAATTACTGTGACAAGTCTGACTTTCCATCAGGTCTCATGTTTATGTGTGTTCATAAAAAACACTAAATAAAGTGTAAAGTAGAGAGGATGTGTAGCTCATATACATCAAGGATCATATTTTTTATGAGTTTTTTAATGTTTGCAAATATATAAAATGCATGGGATTGCTTATTGAAGTAGTAGAAACAGTAGAAGTAGTAGTACTAACATGCCTAGTTACAGTAACACCATGCCATGTTTTGAAGTACAATTAGCACTATTTTGAAGTAAATGTTGTAGTTTATTTCATTTTAATGGTGCATTGTGTAACTTTACTGATAGCGGGTACGTCCATTGCTTTTGTGGAGATGGCATTAAACATTTCTATCCTCATGGAGACCAAACTACACCAAGATACAAGTCAGATCTGTGGAGAGGTGACCCTATTCACAGTCAGAATGCCGTTTTTGAGCCAAAAAAGGAAAACACTCTTAATTGAATAAATGTAAGGTAGAGCTGTTTAATGTCACACTGTGGAACATTCCAGGCAGAGCAATGACAAACCCATAGAAACAAGCAGGTGACGGACCCCCAACCAAAAAGTTACATAGCGCACCTTTAATCTGAATTAGAATTGTGTTTGTATTTTCACCAATGTCCTAAAAAGGCCTTGGATATTTGCTTTGTGTGTTGAAATGGGCTCAGCGAGTGACGTGATGTGTGCCTCTGTTCTTCTCCCCTCTCTATAACCTGGCTGTTGTGTCTGTGGTGAAGGATGGAGAGCACGCCAAAACACTGATGGTAAATAAATACACTTTTGATCACAATGACAGCACAAGAACAGTGACAAACACAGCAATTTACCTGTTAATTCTTCTATTTCTGATTCACATGACTCCATACCTCCCTCCAGCCCCGATACAAGGCCAATCCGCCCCAATGCATGCTGGTAAAATGGTGGTAACTTCACTTGCTGATTTAATGCAGTGTTAATTCTATATGTAATTTAGTGCATGTGTTAGCGCCTATGGGTGATTAAATAACTGTTAATTACTTATGTTCTAATTGTCACTAATTAGCTACAAGCTGTTTTACAAATCTGTCCTATACAGAGGTTTATAAATGGATATTATATTTTTATGCTTTTCAGAAAATTAATACTAACTAATTTCCCTTAAATGTGGTTGGTTGGGGTCCGTCACCTGTTTGTTTCTGTGGATATGTTATTGATCTGCCTGGAATGTTTTACAGCAGTGGTCCCCAACCTTTTTTGCGGCATGGACCGGTTTTATGTCCGACAATATTTTGCAGACTGGGGGGACGGGGCAACATTTTCATGGACTGGCGGCGTATAGGAGGAGGCGCCGTTCATGCAGCGTATGTGTACGGTTAAATCCTGGTTTAGTGGTGGTTAAATCCTGTTTTAGACCTGGTTTTTTCCTGGTTTTAGACCTGGTTTAGGCTTGGTTTACACATGGTTTAGACCTGATTTTAGTCCTGGTTTAGTCCTAGTTTTAGTTCAGATTTAGTCCTGGTTTTAGACCTGGTTTAAACCTAATTTTAGTCCTGGTTTTAGTTATGGTTTAGTCCTAGTTTATTCCTAGTTTAGTCCTGATTTTAGTCCTGGTTTAGTCCTGGTTTAGTCCTGATTTTAGTCCTGGTTTAGTCCTGGTTTTAGTTATGGTTTATTCCTAGTTTAGTCCTGATTTTAGTCCTGGTTTAGTCCTGGTTTAGTCCTGGTTTTAGTTGTTTATTCCTAGTTTAGTCCTGATTTTAGTCCTGGTTTAGTCCTGGTTTAGTCCTGATTTTAGTCCTGGTTTAGTCCTGGTTTTAGTTATGGTTTATTCCTAGTTTAGTCCTTATTTTAGTCCTGGTTTAGTCCTGGTTTTAGTTATGGTTTATTCCTAGTTTAGTCCTGATTTTAGTCCTGGTTTAGTCCTGGTTTTAGTTATGGTTTATTCCTAGTTTAGTCCTGATTTTAGTCCTGGTTTAGTCCTGGTTTAGACCTGATTTTAGTCCTGGTTTAGTCCTAGTTTTAGTTCAGATTTAGTCCTGGTTTTAGACCTGGTTTAAACCTAATTTTAGTCCTGGTTTTAGTTATGGTTTAGTCCTAGATTTATTCCTAGTTTAGTCCTGATTTTAGTCCTGGTTTAGTCCTGGTTTAGTCCTGATTTTAGTCCTGATTTAGTCCTGGTTTTAGTTATGGTTTAGAGGTGCGGGAAACACGACAGGAGGCATGGTCCGCACGGTGCTTTCGTGGTCCGGTACCAAACGGCCCTGGGGTTGGGGGTTCTACAGTATGACTTAAAACTTTAAACAGCTCTACCTTACATGTATTCAATTACAGCTGGTTTTATAGCCTGACCTGTAACTTGATGTGGTTGAAACATTCCAGACAAAGCAATAGCATCTATAGATGGAAAAGCATTTGCATTTGATGGAACCTCCACTAGAAAAGTTACACAATGCACCTTTAATAATTAGCCATAATGAGTAATGCTTTTATTAAGGCTGTGTGACTACTAAAGCTCCGTTAGGTTCCTCAAAAACATACCTGGAGTTGTGTTTTGTTTCATTCACACATGTTTGAGTAACACTTTATCATTAGTTTGCCTACATCTCGAAAGTTCAAAATACGCTCTTCCACCTTGTGATGTCATGAAGTGGTAGTTTTCCTTACCATTTACCTTTTGTTCAGTAGAGATTGGCAATTCCAGGGCTAAAATCATCAAAATGATTCTAGTAAAAGTAAATAGAGTTAAAAAAAAAAAAAAAAACACAAAAGAACTCATGGCATTGAACATAATCGGCTCATCACCATGGAGACAAGCAGGCGACGCCATTAACAGAGTTACAAGTCAGATCTGTGGAGAACAATAAGAACTAAGGCTGGGTATCATTCAGAAGTTGCAGATATGATACATACCTCGATACATAGACCACGATACGATACATACCTCGATACATAGACCACGATACATACTCGATACATACCTCGATACATAGACCACGATTCGATACATACCTCGATCATAGACCACGATACGATACATACCTCGATACATAGATACGATACATACGATACATAGATACATACGATACATAGACCACGATTCGATACATACGATACATATACATAGATACTCGATACATAGACATACGATACGATACATACGATACGATACATACGATACCGATCGATACATAACCTCGATACATAGATACACGATACATACGATACATACGATACATCGATACGACGATACATCGATACATACTCGATACATAGACCACGATACATCGATACATACCTCGATACATAGACCATCGATACATAGACCACGATACGATACATACCTCGATACATAGACCACGATACGATACATACCTCGATACATAGACCACGATACGATACCTCGATACCTCGATACATAGACCACGATACATACATATACATACCGATACATAGACACGATACGATACATACCTCGATACATAGACACGATACGATACGATACATAGACCACGATTCGATACATACCTGATACATAGACACGATACATAGATACCACGATACGATACATACGATCGATACATATGATACATAGACACGATATACATACCTCGATACATAGATATACATACTCGATTAGACCACGATTCGATACATACCTCGATACATAGACCACGACACGATACATACATCGATACATAGATACAATACATTGTCTTGATACAATGCACTTTCAAATCGATACGATACTTTCATATATGATTCAGTACGATATATTTCAAATCAATTCGACACAGTTCAATAAAAAATAAAGGCTGAGTCTTGAAATATGAAATATGTTTATATGAAACATTTTTAATCCTCAAAAGAGTGAAAATGTCAAGTGCATCGCATAAACGAGTTTCCTTCCACTAAACAAGCAACAAAACTGAAGCTCTGTAACAAAATAAGTGAGTAAAATATACCAAAAAATACTCTTTGCGCTATCTTGATACAGCAGCCCACGATATCGATACTGTATCAGCACATTAAACTATACGATATTTCGATATTTTGATATTTTTGCACACCGCTAATAAGAACGTGTGTTTCTTTGAGAGCAGTAAAACCACCTGCTGAACACCTGTTAAAATGAACAAACTCAAGATAGGCCTAAATACCATGGAACATTCCGGACAAAGCAATAATATTTCCACAGGAACAGCGGAAACGAGAAAAGTTATGTGTTGCACCTTTACCCTAGCACACTGTAGACTCGTCAAGTGGTTTGTGTCCAGGTTTTGTGGTCCAGAACTTATTTTGCAACACATTTTGGACGCTCACCAATCTCAATACAACCCTTGTTCTTTGCTTTGCCTGAAACACCTCCCTTCACTTGAGTGTTATTTTTGCTTAAAGTTTCAAACCAAAACACAAACCAGAGACAGACTGGAGCTATTTACACGTGTCTAAAAATATAATTGTTATTACTGCATACACTTTCTATGAGGGAGTGTACCTTACATCTTATTTATGTATTCAAGTATGCTACAGTTATGGGCCAACACGTCATTTGCGTTAAAGTGTTATAGAAAGGCTGGAGATTTGTGAATGAAACTTTAAAATCTTCTGTGAAACAACATGTTTTCATCATAATTTAAGGGCCTGTATTACGCCATTTTCTGATGTATGTTATAATGTTGTTTCCTCATCACAAAAATGCTTAAGAGTTGTGTTTTTGTTTCATTCACACGAGTTGAAAACACACCCCGTTCTGATATCATGTGGTGATACAGGAAGTGCTCCATTGTGTTTGTAAACTCCATACACCTTCATGAAAATCATTTGGATGATTTCAGCCCTGGAATTGACCTTTTTCACAACGGCCGGAAGTGCCGCGATGTAGGGTAAACGTCACTTACGTCAATGCTTTTCTCTGGCAAAATATCTGTGGAAATGTGAAAACGCTTCATAAATCTGCCCCATCACCAAATTTTCATCCAGCAAGATCCACAAAGAACATATTCTGTCCATGAAGAATTGATTCACAACTACCAAGGTAAGAAAGATGAAAACAGAAATGCTAACAATGACTAGAATTAGTGAACTACTGAGCAAAACTAACATTATGGTTATGAATAAAACATAAGTAACTTGTTAACTCATTGTGATTCTACAATTAAAATAAAAAATCGATTTCTTGATGTGGATAGCATAGACAGAGAGTCTTGTGCACTTTAAATGCCAGACATGTAATCTGTGAACATCTGTAGCATTTGAACTGTACAAATCTCTTTATCTATGCTAATATCTACTAGCCAGGCTGGTGCCACCTAGTGCCTCCGCTCAATTTCAGTGACTAGGTTAGGAATCAGAATACACTAGACGGTTTGCAAGAACCCCGTAAGTTGTAGACCGTGCACCAGCCAATCAGTGAAGAACTGTGAAGCCATGATGTCAAACTCAAGCTCAACAGTAAACAAAGCGGTCGAGATGGATGTAGACGAAGCCAGACATTCTGTGTTGGCAACAGTTCCCAAGATCGAGGATTTAAAGATGGAACAAAGAGAATGTTTGCTCAATTTTATCAAGGGGAAAGACGTTATTGCTCTTCTTCCTACAGGATTTGGGAAAAGCTTAATATACCAGTTAGCCCCATTAGCGGTACATTACATATGTCATGACCAAATAGCAGTGATTGGTTAAATAAAAAAAGTTCCCACCCACCATCGAGCGAACAAATCCTAACGCTGCGAAGTCAGACGGTATCCACAAAGTGAAACCAGCTGATGAATCAGGCTAAATATCT